CCGCTCTCGGGACCGGGTTTAGCTGGTGGCCGCGGGCAGAGCTGTGGGGAGCTCTCGGGATCCGCCCGGTGCCCCTGCCCGTCCCCATTCTCCCCCGGCCCCCGTTGCGCTGTTGTCCCGCGCTCAGACACCTCCTTTGCGGACGGGAGCTCGTGCGGAGCGCGAGGAGGCCACTCTCCCGCCGCACCCGAGCAACGGCTTCTCGCGTGGGTTTTGCCCCAGCATGTCTAACAGCTTATGTGACTTCTCAGCGGGAAACACACTGTATAAACCAAACCCACCCCAGGCTTTAAACGTCGACTCCTCCAGGAGTTCCCTTTGTTAGTCCGTATCACCCGCACACTCAACCTGGTGGGTTAAAAAGCTTTTATTGGCCGGCGGCAGACCTTTTACAGTTGGCCAGAGATCCACACTCCTCTGGACAGTGACCAGCGTTTATATAGACAGTCTTAATTTCCTTATCTGCCTATTGTGTCTTGTGGCATTCACAGTTGGTTCCTCTCTCACAGTTCTCTTGTTTTGCAAGCTTGGAATGTTCGTTTCACAATTCTTGCCTATTCTTATCTTAATCATCCTCACCTGGTTTTCAGCAGAAGCAGATGGGGAGGTTAACTCCTAGTCGCTGCTCGGTTAACCCTTTACAAGGTCCCACCTTTCATTGGGTCCTTCATCTTCTTCCCATGGGTCCTTCATCTTCTTCCCAGTTGCAATCGGCTTCTCCAAAACAAGGCAAAGCAGATTACTCAACTTTCCTTCTTTTTGTTGCACGTTATCATCTTATTATCCATCCCTTAAATCCTTCATCCTAGTTCTCAAGTTTTATGCAAAATCTTCCAATTTTTTTAAAATCTTAAGACACGTGCCATGTTTGTCAATAGCCCATTTTCCTCCAGTGAGGAATTAGGCCAGCTGATAAAGGTAGACTATGCACATCTTTTTTTTTTTTTTTTTTTTTTTTTTTTTTTTTCCTTCTCACAGCATCACGAACCTCCTAATCTTCTCACCACTCTGTGCTTCTTCCAGGCTTCCTAGACACTGATGTTAGCACTACTCTTGGTGTGTAAGTCAGGCCAAAGAAATGCAAATTGACTTTTCTCCCAACCAAGCCAGGAAATGGATGTCTAAGCATTGCTGAAGCAGTTGTTAACTCCTCTCCAGCTGCTTCCCTGGGCTCTCCTGAGCAGAGGTGCCAGTGTGGAGGCCCCAGCAGGGCCTGACCGTCCCTGGCGCAGCTCCAAAAGTCCTGGAGTTGCAGTGCTCCTTTCTGAATCTCTCCTGGTATGTACCAGGGCTGGGAGCCTCTCGCTGTTGTGCTTCTGGGGAGAGTGACCTACTAGCTTGCAGCAAGACTGTACTTGTGCACTCGTGTATGTGTACCTCTATGCCTGCCCACATAGTAGAACTAACTTTACTGTTCTTTATGTTTGCTTTTTTTTCTGCCTTTTCTTTTTCTTGCCTTTTTGTTTTTGTTTTTTTGGCCACAATATAAGGAGGGATTTATTACAACTGCTCACAGTGATAGCCATAACTTTTTAGATTGTTTATGTTCCTGTAGATCAGTTGGAAGGCAGAAGCAGCATATAAAACAGATTGAGATTAATCTTTCTAGTACGCGTTTCCATGTATTTTTAGTAGTGAATTTCACCTGTCTCGAAGCACCTAGTTTCTGATCTTATTAAAAAAGCTAATTTTTTCAGCATCTCCTTCTGACAAGTGTTTTTTATGACTTCCTTATATTCTGTCACATTTTTTATTCACTGTTTTCCTCAGATACTTTATAGCATTTAGTTCTAATAATTAAAACACTTTATCACATGGATCCAGTCAAAACATTACATTTCTATATAAATAAGATAGATCACTTAAGCATATTCCTTATTTTCAGTCCCTTAGGTAGTTCTTATATGTGACGATTTTATCTTCCTTTTCAGCTCACGGTTTTTGTATGTCATACTTTTACTGTGCATTTATTTTGTTTTCTAATTGTTATAACGAAAATCTCTTTTCCAAGTTTCACAGTTAAGCATGAGATTGAATCACAACAAATAGGTTCTATATTGATTTAGGATCACCAATGGTATCTGTTACATTGTGTGTCTTAATAAGAACATAAGTAGTAGTAAGAAATAAATGACAAAAATCCTTTATTAAATAAGAAGAAAGATTTTAAGATGTGGATAAAGTAAGCATCCAGGCAACTGATGGAGTATGGCAAGGTAATTGCGATAAAACATGAAAAGAAAATTGAGAAGAGGCTAGAGGCAGCATTCTTGACATGGATAAAGCAAGACAGATTTCATTAAGAAAAAAACAAGTACTATGGAAAAGCTAGTAGGTTAGAATCCTAATATTTTCACCATGTGCTAAAGTCTAGGCAGAAAGCAGGTACCGCTGAGTAAGTTGGAGACATCATGCTTCAGTGCAAGGGGAGATTGAATTTCATATGGGGAGGGGACTGGGGAGGACCTTCTCTCTGTTTTGATTCCTGTTCTAATTCAAATAAAGTTGAAAGAGGTAAACATTTCCTTATGTCAGAAGACAGTGGTTTCCCTTTCAAAGAAATAGTGCACAGATCTTCAAAGTACAGTTTATTGTGTTGAACTGAAAAATGAAACATGCAAGAAGAAAAAAAAAAAAAAAAAAGGAACGATGGGCTGCTGATGTGGATTGTTCTGCTTTGTTAGGATACCAGGCCTGAGCATCACCGACGACACAAGGTCAAGAGATCTCTGGAAAACAAAAAGTACGTGTATGTTTCTTGTCAAGTTTGACCGAGGGCAAGGAAAAAGATGAGAAAGCTGTGTTTGACCTTTTAAGTTGGGGCTGAGTGGCCCAGCTAGAAGTGCCAAGGCAGTATCTTCTTTTTTTTTTTTTTTTTTTTTCCCCTTCTGCTTTTGAGGAGCTTTCTAATGCCAATCACTAAGAGATGTTTGGAAAAATAATGTTTAGGATGTTTTATGTTGCTGGCGTATCTCAGTTCACAAACCTCAGGAAATTCAGTGAACTGTGCAACTAATTTTTAGCAGTGCTTGGGAAGATGGGGGGGATGTCTGTGAAGTCATTGTGGTTTTGTTTGTGTGCATACATGCATACACATATATATGATTTCAAGTTGATGTTTTTCAGATCTAAGCAATTGGAGGAGCTGGAAACTACTGTCCCAGGACTGAACAATAACGATGATGAGACAGTCAGCAATGTTTCTTCTGCCTCATCTAAGAGTCGAGTTAACGAAAGTGCAGAGTCAGGAAGCAAGCAGATAATTTGCAAGCCTTCTTATTGTTTGGAAATGAGAGGAGTGAAAAAGAACATTAACAAAACTCCAGGAATAAAAGGTACTCATCACTCTTGACTCTGTGTAAAACTGTTTTTCTCTAGGTGATTCTTTTATGAAAGATTGTATGACTTTCAAAAGACTTGCTAAAGTTCAGCTGCAAATCCCAAACTTGGTAACAGTTTGCGTATTAGGAGAGAGAAAGAGAAACTTCTTCCACTGCAGAAACTTAGGTAAAATTCTCTGCCTGGTGAGAGCAGGTCTGCATAACCTGCATAGTGTTATGAGTGATTTGGCTATTAAAATTACCGATTTGGTGACTGAACTCAGCTTTATCTATAGGAAAAGTATGTCTAAGGGTTTTACCCGTTTTTTCAGGAAAATCCGTTTACAGCTTTAGGAATAAACAAGGCAACACCAAAAATGTACAAAAGTGGACCTCCAGCAGTATTCCGGATTGCAGTCATCAGGACAATTGTTTTTTGTCACCACTTTCTGATTTACAGTGGTTTGGGTACTGTAGATTGGCTCTTACATTGCTGTAGTAAAGCAGGGACCTTCAAATTTTCCAAACTAGGAGCTGTTTTCCAAACTTTTCATGTGGCTGAGAGCTAAAACATCCATCTTTCCTATTGCTCTTTCTTCATCATCTTGTTCTGTGTTCCCTCCTTGCTCTCGTCCTGAGTATTACTGTTTTCCCAAGCCATGCTATGGTAGATACTGTTTCTTCTATATCAGGAAATTGCAGGCTATGGGTTTTTTCCTCTAAGGAATATGGAATGGCTCAGAGTTACTGACTCAGAAGGTTGTCCTTCTCACTGGTGTCTAGATGATACACAGAAAGCAACTTAAACTATTTTTTTTTCCTTCGGAATTACTGATGTGAAGAGAAACTGAGACAGCAGACAGACACAAAGCTGTTGTCCAGACTAAGTATTTCCATTCTTTCTTGTTAACAGGTGAAGTAGTGTTGAAAGGCAAGAGGAAATCTGAGGAAGATGAAGATCTTAAAGACTCCCCCAGGAAGAAACAAAAGATTTCTGGTAATACAGATAACATGTAATTTCTAGTTACAAGCCTCCGGGTACTTTTGACTCCCTTTCTGCACAAATGTTGTCCTCTGCCATTTCCTGACCTCCATTTCTGATTCTGTGAGTCTTACTGTATGGAACTGTGGCCTATCTTCTATTTTGCAGTAGGAGGTGATTGTTCTAATTTTAGTCTCTTTTGAAGTACAATCCTATTTTTCAACAGAGGAAAAAGAAAAGGAGTGCATTGGAAATATAGACTAGACATTCATTTCAGTTTCCCCAAAAATATTTGAAAAAATAATCAGGCAAATTACTTGTAAGCCTCTGGAGGCTAATGAGGACATGGTGACAGTAATGGGAGTTTGGTAAGAACAAATCACACTCAACTAGTCTTCACATTACACAAACGGTCTAAAAGACAGGTTGAAATACAGAGTGGAAAATGAAAGATGCTGTAGTTAAATATTCAAAAGAAGGAACAGCTTGCTAGGTATCAGTTCTTCTGAAAACGATTAGGGTCTTATGATGGCAAGCTGAATAGAGGCAAACATTGTCATGTTTTTTGAAAAAGACATTTTATTGAGATACAGAAAAGGAACGTAGACCACAAGAAGTGTGAAGCAATTCTGCTCTACTGTAGGGCCTTGCTTGGAGTAGTTTTCAGCACTGGACAGTGCAGTTCAGGAAATATGTAGGCCAACTAAAGAGAATGTAGAGGAGAACAAGAAGCATAACTCCTGAGAATAGATTGAAAGAGTTACAGTTGTTTAGTCTTAAAAAAAAAAAAAAAGGGGGGGGGGGCAGGAATGGGAATTTCCATTTTATTGTCAATTGGCTGTTAGACTGGCTTAGCTGTACAGTGAATGGTGTTGTTTTTTTCAATGTGAAGAGTTCCCATCCTCAGTGTTGTTTATCATGCTGATTACAAACACCTGGATGGGACTAATGCCTACTGTTGGCTGAATAGATTTTTCTCTAAAAATAGGTAATTGGGAGATGCTGTAGCAGGGGCTTGTTTGGGAAACTGTTAATGTGAATTACTGGGAAAGATAGAGAAATAATTAACAGCATCCTAGCTCCTAGTGTATAATAAAGCCAGTCTTCAGTGGCGTCAAGGCAAAATCTGTTTGGCAAGTGTTACTAGTGGTACTTTGATGCCATACCTTGTGCAGCTTCATTAAAGGAAGTGGAATAATATCTTGGAATAAGAGTTAAAATTCTCATAGAATTAAACCCAAGAATTTAGCATTTTAATGTGGTCTTTTGTAATTATTATACCTTAATTTTATGTTCTTTTAATATTTTTCTGTGTCTTACACTTCGGGCAAATCTGGGTGGATTTTTATGGGGGGAAAAAATTATCTCTTGGATCCTAAAATTGCCTTTGATCCGGTGTTTTGGGCCTGTCAGATTGGAAATAATCTGCAGATTAGACTTTGCTGGAAAGTGCAAGTTTATGGATGAAACATACATTTTAATAATACCTAGCAGGTGGCAAATTAATTCTGACTATAATCTCTTCTTCATTAAATATAGTTATCAGTTTTGAAAGAGACGAGGGAATGTATTTTTTTTAAATTACTAAAAAGAAAGAATTCTAAGGAAGTGGCTCCTTGCTGATGGCCCCTTTGAGATGGATTGAATAGGGGTCTCCTAGGCAAGCTCTTCACTTTTGTAAAAGGCTGAGAATTCATGAGAATTAACTCTCATGATCTCTATTGTTTGTGTTACAGCAGGAAGAAAACAGCAAGCAGGAGCACAACAAAAGTACAGAAGAAAAGTTCACTCTGTTCAGAAAGAGCCACAAACTTATAGCACGGGTAAGATGGAGCAGTTGTTCAGAATTGTTTATAAAGCAGATAAGAGATAAATGCAGTTCTGCAATGAAGTTCTTAGAGTTGAGTCTGATTGATGGCTGCATCTCCATGTTTCCATTTTTGTTGCTCACTTTACTGTTAATAGGGAAGAAATGGGTACTGTCCTTTGGACACTCTGTCATTATTGCAGAAAATATTTCTGCCTAACAGGATAGTTCCACCTGGTTTTGTCTTAAAATCACTGCAGTAATGGGGCCAGGGGAGATCACATTTGAATGGAGCAAAAGCCTATTGAAATAGTTTCAGTCTAAAGCTCTTAAAAATATATGCTTCTTTACTCAGCAGAACATGGAATGTGTTTCCAAAAAGAACTATGTAGACGCTGCTGCCAGAACAACTCTTCTGATAACCTGGTAGCCATAGACTCAAACAGTCACTCCTGGAAAATATAATATCAGCCTTGAATCTGCAAGTGGCATGACTTGATATGCATAATTCACAGCAGTCACTACTACCCAAGCATTCTCCCAAGTGCTGTTCAATTCAGCCGTCTCAGGAGGGGCAACCCTTGCTTGTTTATACCTGGCAAGGAGAAAAGCTTTTAGATATCATAATGATAAGAATTCAAGCAGCTGGCTGTAAAGCCACTTCTTCCTGAAAAAGAGTTTTAAGAATTTATAATCCTTGTGGCCAAAACAAAAAGGGGCCAGGAAATGGAAACCATGCCTGACAAGTTACTTCTCCCCATCTCTTGAGTGATTTGGCCTGATGGTACAGTTCTGTTCACCTGCAGTGCCAAAACCTCTATTTAACACTAGTGAAATTTTAAAGATTTGGTTAGTAGAATTGAATTGTGGACTTTGTCTTGAAACTGGTCACATCTGTGGCTTTCACAAAAGGCCTCTTTGCCAAAAGAAAAGTTTATCGTGCATGCTACAGTTGTTGTGTAATGGAAATGAACAAAGGAAGAATCTCTACTGAATGTATGGTAGAGCTCTCCTCAAAAGGGAAGGTAGTAACCGGAGGTTTTAGTCAAATAGTTTCCACAAAAGAGTGATTTGAGGCTTGTCATATGAAATGTAAACCGCAAACCAAATAAAATTGTTGAAATGTTACTGGACAAGAGGTTAGTAGCACATGACCAGTTTTCTTTTAGAATTCATTGGGCATGTTGAAGAAGAAAAATAAGATTTTGTGCTTGCAGTTCCGTTCCAAACTTCCTTTTTTAACAGGTAGTGTGGAAGAGCAGTGGTCTTTGGAAATTCGAGACAAAGGCCGAGCTACTTGTCCAACATGCAGGGCTGTGGTGAGAAAGACTGTAGAAGGACTGAAGAAACATATGGCAAATTGCAGGCAGGTAAGATAAAGAAAGATGATCGCTGTTTTCTTTAATCTTTTCTTTAGCAATAGAAGAGCCTGCCTATTGTTTCACAGTGCAGTTAAAAACAGTTTTATCTTCATCATCTATCTAAACAACAGCCTATTTAAGGGGCTGCAGTTGGAGTTTCTTGCTTCAGGCTTTGGATAATGAACAAAGATGTAGACATTTCCTTCTTCCCCTAAAGTTCTAGCTCCATGGACTCTGTTCTGTTATTAATAGGCAGTTATTAGGCCCACATAAGATGTTCTGCTCTCTGATTATGTTCACCCAAACAGTCTGTTGGTGCTTTTGTTGTTTTGCAGTCGTGTATCCCATGTCCTTGTTTGTTTGTAGGAAATGTTCACTTGTCATCACTGTGGGAAGCAGCTAAAGTCTTTGGGAGGAATGAAATACCATGTCATGGCAGACCATAACAATCAGGTAAGACAACTTCTGTGCATCCAGAAGTCTTAGAGGCAAGACAGTCCTTATTTTTTTCCTGATGTGCACAGGCACCGAGTATCGTGTGCTTCTTCAAATATTGTGGCTGTTTGAGTCTTGGCTATTATTTTATGTGCAAGAGTAGACACTTGGAAAAGTGGTAACCATTATTCAAGATGGTAGATGTGCTACCTTTAAGAGGGCTTGAATTTCTTTTAAACTAGTAATATATCACACAAAAGGGCATAAAAATATCAGAGAAAAAATATATTAGAATATGAATGACTTCTCATTCTTTGTCAGAAAGTAGAATTTTTCTACACCCAGAGCAGACCAGTTTTTAATTCTTTATGCTTCGCTATTACTACAGAAAAGACTGTGCTCACATTCTAGTTATCAAGAACTAAAACTTTTGGAAAGGTTGTTCAGAGGTTACGGTAACCTAACCACTACTGTTATTTTTGTTATTTAACATAGTACCTAGTGCTGTGGTCCTTCTGGTCCTGAGGAGTAGGTCTGTAGTACAATTTCAATTTTCTTAGTCAGTTCAGGTGTAATATTTAATATAAGATAATATAGGAAATAATATTCAATATCTATTAGAGATAGAAAAGATCTTGTGCTGTAGTTTGGCATACATTAATAATTCTCACTGGCAGTGATCCAGCTTAGCTTCTTGGCTTTATTTAGGCTAAGTTGAAATGCTAGGACCAGTAAATGTTAAAAACTATGTGACAAAAATGAGTCGACACTTCCCAAAAGCACTTGTGGGGAAAAGTTATGATACAAACATGCACCCAGGAGCTATAGTTTGAGATTATTTCTTTCAAGGCTTTGTAGATAGTTATATGAATGTTAAAGTTGCCAATTGTAGAGTGGCTTTGAGTACTCCCTTTAAAAGCCAGTTCAGTTATTTTGGTACATAGCCAGAGATCATTGTATTGCATATATTTCTGTAGTCCTAAGTTCAGAGATTTAATTAGTTTAAAATCTTTCTTTTTTTGTGTGGTGTGCTAAATAGTGAACTCACTATGAGAAAGACTGCCACGCCTCCTTTGTTTCTGTTTCTTCTCTTTGCCTTACTTTAGCCACTTGTGAAGGAGGGAGGAGAAGTAGATGAGCAGCGTGAGCGAGACCGCCTTCGGAAGGTTTTGAAGCTTATGGGAAAACTGAAGTGTGCAAGGGAGGTAAGCACCTCACGAGTATAGAGTGCTGTAAGACTTCCTGTGGCTATGCTTTTGGATCCAATAAAAGCTGGATTTGTTTCAAAGCTGTAACTATGCTTACAAAACAAAGTAGGCCCTTGGGAATTCAGAGGGCTACTGTGTTACCAGGAAAGCAGCAAGAAGCCGGGAGAATTTCCTCCAAGCAAGTGTGAAGCACTGAGAAAAATAGAAAAATAATTATTGAAGTGACTGATAACCTCTTCACTAAGCAAAGTGGGAGTCTGGTGAACACCAGCTTGACTGGAAGTTTTCACACATGACTCGATGAGTGACATTCTCCTGCTTATATTAGGAAGAACATCGGCCTTTGAGTCTGTCACATCCTCCTTCTGACCCTGAAAGGGAGGGTTATAGGGTGGTTAAAACAGAGTTTTACTTTTTGATTACAATTTTTAATGGCTTATTTAGACAAAATATGTAAAGTCATATCCTTGTTCAATCTACATTTATAAATACATTCAATGGAGGATGTCAAAGAAGAAGTAAGGAATAATCCTTTTACTATGTGACAGTATTATAAACTATTAATTAATATATTAAGGTTGTTAAATTAACAGAAACACTTTAACCACCCTGAAGAATGAAATTCTGAAATAGTCTTCTAAATAAGATATGGAGTGCCAAGTGCTTTCCATTATTTTAAGGTGCAGTGACATACATAGGTGAAGAATACTGTCTAATTGACCAGAAATTAGAAAAATCAGTTTGTGGTAAAATACCCTTCAGTATTTGATACATTAGTGTCTTCACCTATCTATCTATCTATCTATCTGTCTGTCTGTATGTATGTATGTATATAAAACTTGCTAATGTATGCTTGCTTTGTCCTTTCCAAAGCCCAAGCTTAAGTTCATTGCTGGTTTCTGGGCTAGGAAATTTTCTACCAAGTCTACACAGGAAAGCATTGGAGGTTTTGTTGTCCTGCTCTGTGGACGGAGACATGAACCATATCCTAGGGATATCTTAAATTTTATTTAACAATTTCTCTAATACTGCTGAGATCGAGGAGAGTCCAACCAGTCAAGCATTGTAGGAAATAATTTCTTCCAACTTCAGCCAAATCTTTCCCATTTTTTTTTCTACCTGAATAGACAAACTTAAAAGTGTGTTACCTAATTGTCTCTTGTCTGGCAGAAAAATAATAGTGTTTTGGTCAACAAATTGTTGATTCTATACACAGTGGTTTGTTAATCATTTCAAGAGAATTTGCTCAATGGATTTTTCTTCTGCATTGACAGGGTTGCACAGGCAGCTTCACCAGCGTAATGGGATACCTATATCATGTTAAAAAGTGTGGGAAGGCTGCCTCTGAGCTGGAGAAAATGGCTATGAAATGCCATCACTGTGGAAAGGCATACAAATCAAAGGCAGGACTTGTCTACCACCTCCGATCTAAGCATGGGCCAGTAAGTGCAAATTGCCATAGTTACCAGGGTGGTGTGGGAGCTGATTACTCCTTCATATACTTGAGATCATTTCTGACTTGAGACTAAGAGGTACTAAGAGGTAGCAAATATCTGCATTTTCTGCTTCTTTAGAGTACTGCTGGAGTGCTTGTCCCTTTCCTTTTGACAGGAACAGAACAGCTGTGCCTGTTCTGTGATAAGGATGAAGTTTGTAACAGTAAATCACTGTTATAGCGATAAATCTTTCCC